GGGGGGGGGGGGGGTGGGGGCGGGGGCGGGGGCGGGAGACTTGCCGAGAGGGCTACTACCACGGCAGCACGCGAAGGGGCGCGTAGCAGCGGTAGCACTACGCCGCCATCGCCGTGGCGGGGCCGGGAAGAAGTCGGCGACGAGGCCTCCTCGATGACGATCTACCCTTATTTCCACAGGAAGAGGCGCGGTGATGGCGACGACGATGAAACAGCGGCGGCCCTCGGCGGCGCCGGTGCCGGCGGCGCGGGACGGGTCCGGCCTTCCGACGACCCCTCAACGTTTCGTCTCTGCAGGCGGCGGTTTGACGAGGGAGCCGAGCTGGGCGGGACGAAGACCGAGCAGCCCGATCGCCGAGCAATAAACCGCGAGGGTGGGGTGGAGCAGGGTGGTGAACATGGTACGAGCGGGCCGATGCCGTTAGATGGAAGCAGCAGCAGCCGCAGCAGCTTACACAAGGAGAGAGGCGGGCGGGGCTGGGGGGGGAGTTGGCCCTGGGCTCAAGGGGCGGCGAGGTGGCGGCCAGTGGTGGGCTCGGACGAGGGCCAGGGACGGTCGGTCAAGCGCGAGAGGTCCGAGGCCCAGGGCGTCGCCGTCCCGGACCGAGTGTGGAACCGCCGCCGCTGTTGAGCGTGGTTTACTACAGTGCCAGAATATGTCCTTGTCTGTTCGTGTGGGTGCGCTTGTTTGTGTTTCGTGGGCGGATATTACTCGTTGTCGTTTTTAGTTCTTGTTATCTTGGACAAGAGGGGGGGGGGGGGCGGCCCCCGGGCACGTATTCCGGAGGGGGGGGGGGGCGGGGGGGGCGGGGGGGAAGCCCCCCCCCCGGGCCGCGCCCTTTAGCCTTTGGGGGGAAAAAACCCCCCGCGCCCCGGAACCCGGGGTGTTTTTTTTTTCCCCGGGGTCCCCCAAGCGCCCGGGGGGGGTCCCCTGGGGCCCTTTTATTAAAATACCCAGGGGGAAAGGTGGCCAAAGCCCCCCAAAAAAACCCCCATTTGTTTTTCCGGACCTACCAAACCCCCGGGGGAAATTAAGGGATAAATTAATTGCGGTGAAAAAAAACCCCCCCCGGCCCGGGTGGGCCTTCCCCAAAAGTCCCCCCGAAGGGGGGGGGGTTTGCGGTTTCCCCCCCCTTA